GTAATGTAGAGATAGGTTGAGTAAGATAGAGACAGGTGAGTAAGATAGAGACAGGTGAGTAATGTAGAGAGAGGTGAGTAAGATAGACAGGTGAGTAAGATAGAGACAGGTTAGTAAGGTAGAGACAGGTTAGTAAGGAAGAGACAGGTTAGTAAGGAAGAGACAGGTGAGTAAGGTAGAGACAGGTGAGTAAGGTAGAGACAGGTGAGTAAGGTAGAGACAGGTGAGTAAGGTAGAGACAGGTGAGTAAGATAGAGACAGGTGGTAGATAAAGAGACAGGTTGGTGGTGAGAACAGTGAATGGAGCCAGAACAAGGTGAGTAAGAGTGGAACAGGTTAGTAGGTGAAGATGGTGGTGCAGGTAGAGACTAATTGAGTAAGTTATGAGACAGTGATGAATAGAATTAGTGAATGCTGAGTGAGACAGGTGATGAGTGGGTGGTGGTGGGGTGAGACGGTGGTGGGGAAAGACAGAGGGTGAGTAAGGTGAGAGACAGGTGGAGTGGGTGGGATGGTGGACAGGTGGAGTAAGGTGGGGAACCAGGTTGGTAGGAAGAGACAGGTGATGTAGAGACAGGTGGTGAGTAGAGACAGGTGATAAAGAGTGAGACAGGTGGTAAGATAGAGACAGTGAGTAAGATCGAGACAGGTGGTGGAGTGGGGGTGAGTGGTGGGGTGGTAGGGTGAGACGGGTTGGGGTGAGACAGGTGAGTGGGTAGAGAGACAGACAGTGGTGGGAACGGGTGGTAAAGGTGGGGGTGGTGGGGTGAGAGACGGAGTGAAGTGGTAGAGACAGGTGAGTAAGGTAGAGACAGGTGAGTAAGGTAGAGACAGGTGAGTAAGGTAGAGACAGGTGAGTAAGGTAGACAGGTTAGTAAGGTAGAGACAGGTGAGTAAGGTAAGAGAAGGTGCGTAAAGTTGGGGAAGGTCTGTCTGCTTGGGCGTGTGGTGAGGGTTAGCACGTGAACAGCGAGTGATTTGCCTCCATGGTCTGTTCGACGAGTCACGTGATCAGTGTGTGTGTGGGGAGGGGGTGGAGGTAGGGGGCATGGGACGTGTTCTCTCAACCTACCCATCTTCTACCCCACCCCTATCCCTCCCTACCTCCTTTCTTCTCCTCATGCCGCCTTGACTCCATCCATTTCCTCCCTCCCTTCCTCCTTCCCTTCCTCTCCTCATCCCTCCCATTCTCCCTCTGTACTCTCACTCCCACCTGCCCTTCCTTTACCCATATCCCCCTCTTTCATTTCCCCCCTCCCTCTATTCTCTCTCTCCCTCCCTACCTCCTTCCTGTCTTCTCCCTGTCCCATCCTCTCCCTCTTTCCACCACCGCTACTTTAGTTAGTTTAACAAATTTATTGGCAGAGCTTGTAGTACAGTTTGCCTATTCTGAGTAATTCAGTCAGGTCTTGACACTGAGGGTGGTATCACTTCTCACTGCCACGCAGGACAGAGGTTCATACACAAAGAAATACATCATATTCATTAACAGCTAGAAATGTATAGAGGTCAGATTCATATGCGTAATGTCACTGTTCACTGCCATGCAGGACAGAGGTTCGTACAGGAAGAGATGCATCATATTCATTGACAGTACATATACATATATGTACACACACACAAACACATATACATACATATACATATATACATACACATATACATGTACATATATATACACATATGCACACACACACACATACATACATACATACATATACGTCGGTCAGATTCATGTGGGTAATGTCACTCTTCACTGCCATACAGCACAGAGGTTCGTACACAAAGAATGCATCATATTCATTGACACTATATATAGGTCAGATTCATGTGGGTAATGCCACTGTTCACTGCCATGCAGGACAGAGGTTCGTACACAAAGAAGGAAATACATCATAGTCATTAGCAGTATATATAGGTCAGTGGATCACATACATTGGAGTCATATTCTAATTGAAGACTAATCAGTGTGGGCTAGCAAATTTGGGATAAACAGCAAGAATGTCCTCAAGCACACCTGATTCAATGAAGTAATTACATAGTTCAAGATACAATAAGTCAGGTGGCCTGAGGTCTTTGACAGTGTCACATTCAATAATATAGTGTTCAAGTGTATGCTTTAAAGATTTATCACAAAGTTTACATGCCGAGTGTTCCGGTATGGATACAGCGTTACTAACTTGCCAGATGTGTCTGTATCCTAGCCTAATTCTGGCCACTAGTACATCACATTGTCTGGTTCTGTCCTTATGCTGGCCATACCGGTACCTCTTGTCACAAAATTTGTCATATTTACTAATGCTACAACTGTCAGGTCTCTCTGCATTTCTCACTTCTTCTAGATCAGAGTTCATGATTCTGACTTGAATGTTTTTAATTACAGCATTGGACAGGCCAAGGTCACGGTCAACATTTTCTTTCTTACATGCCTCATTGGCCAGTCTATCAGCACGGTCATGATACCTGATTCCAACATGGGACGGAATCCACACAAATTCGATACGAAAGTTGTTCTCATTGGCAGTTATCACATTCCTTTTAATATCACATACAACTTTAGACATAGAGCCTGACGGGCTGTTCATTGATTTCAAAGCACTTTGAGAGTCACAGAATATCACCCCACCTCCATTTTCTTTGAGGTAGTCTGTGGCTAAGTAGATTCCAGTTAGTTCAGTTTGTGTTGTGCTGGCCCAGCTGTTCAGCCTTTGTTTGTTTGACACTATCATGTCTTTTTCTTTATATATTACAATTGCACAGCCTGTTCTACCTATGTTTGTCTGCACAGAACCAACAGGAAAAGCATAACATTCATTTGATTTAATACTCTCTATGTGTCTGTTAATAGTTTCTAGTGTGACACATCTCACCACATCGGTGTTTAACATTTGCTTACTACCAACAGGAGTGTAATTAATAGGAACTGATATGTCCAGCCAAGGAGGAATGGCATTAATAGGTTCGTCTGGGGTGATTGGGACATTCAGTTTCAAGAGATCTGCAACACTTTTATGATGCCACGCCCCAAAGAGAGTCTTTTGTGGAAGGTTAGCGAGATGGTCGGGATTACTTAGATAGAACATCAACTCAGTTTGAGATGTAGTTTGAGAACCATTGTTCTTCAAAACTTTGACACAAAACATGGTATTAAGTAGAGCTATCCTCTCAGATAGGGAGGGCAGTCCGAGCTCTTTCCTCATGTTTACAATTCTGGTTGATTTTGGGTAACCTAGGATGATGCGCATGGCTTCATTTTGCACTACCTCAAGGCTGTTGAGTTGTTTAGGCAGAATAGTCACAAGATGGAGAGCATGATAGTCAGCTACAGAACGAATGAAGTGAAGATAGAAAGTACGAGGATAGGTGCTGTTAATTCCATAGACCTTGCCAACAAGGGTTCTGAGGGGTTTAATGCGCTGCATTAGTTTGTCACGAAGGTTGCTGACAAAGTTTGCATCATTCACAAAAATTCCAAGATATTTATAGGAGCTACATAGTTCCAAGGGCATGCTGTTAATGTTATAGTCAAGAGGCAGAGGGTGAGCAGGACGAGGATTGAGGACCCTCGTCTTGTCAACAGATATTATGAGACCACATTCAACAGTTCTCCGAGCAAATACATCCAGCAAGGCTTGGAGCCTAAGTTTGGTTTGTATCATAATGCAGATATCATCAGCATATCATATTACGGCTTCGTTTGGCTGAACTGGAATGTCAGCAATAAGCTTGTGCATCATTATATTAAAGAGCATAGGACTTAACACTCCTCCCTGAGGCGTGCCAATCTCAAATGATCTCATTCTGGTACTTTTAACTCCCCTAAACAGAACACTGGCATACCTGTTGGACAGATAACCCTGTATCCATGTCAGGAGGTTACCTTGGATGCCAAAATTAGCTAGTTGCTCAAGTATAATGTCTCTATTAGCTACATCAAAGGCTGATTTAAGGTCTGTGAAGGCTGTTTGTGTCTTATCTTTTGAGTGAACAAGATATTCTGCAAAGCATGTCTGTGTAATACGCCCGGGCATGAACCCGTACAGATTAGGGGCGAGTTTGTCTTTGACTTGAAACATGAGACGGTTTAGAACAACTCTTTCAAGGACTTTACACATACAGGATGTGAGTGAAATTGGCCTGAAGTTTGGAGAATTAGCTTTAGGGATTGGAACTATGTTTCCATGAGTCCATGTCTTAGGCAGAATACCCTGTGTGAGGCTCATTTGATACAGGTCAAGCAGTGGATGGTTAGGTATCTCATTCAACAATCTCAGGGTGTTATAGGTTATGCCATCCTCACCAGGGGAGGATGACTCACCTTTCATTAGTGCTGTTGTTAGTTCGTGGTGCGTTATAGGAAACCGGTCGGTAAGGTCTGGTGAGGAACAGGCTATTTCAACATTGAAACCCCTATTAATGTGTGTGGTGTTAAGATATCGTTGTATGTCAGGAGGCAGGGAAGTGATGTGTGACACACTAGACCATTGGTCTAATAGCATGTCAGCATATTCTGCAGGGCTGTGATGAAGCTGGACTGGGGTGGGTGACTTGGTAATGGCTCTAATTTTGTTCCACACTTCTGCTAGAGTGGTTGTTCTATTAATCCCCTGTAAGAATTGTTCCCAATAGGTGTTTCTCACCTGACCTTTGAGTTCACGAAATTCTCTGTTAGCTTTGAGGAATGCCAAGAGGTTATCACTAGTTTTATTTTGCTTATAAGTGTTGGCAAGCTGTTTTACATTCTCTCCTTCTTTGGTGAGGATGGGGTCATGTTTCCACAGAGGTGGTTTAGTGCTGCCCCCCTTCCTCCTTGACTTAACCCAGGTGGTACATCCCAGATAATCTTAAACTGCACTTCAAGGCCTACATCCACAGATGGTATGCTGGATATACACCTGGGTCAGTGGATGAATTTTGCTGTGATCTTATAAATATCATTACCACCACCGCTACATATTTCTCTGTCACTCTCATTTCCCTCGTTCGTATATACTTGTCAGATGACGGAAAAACCAGATAGAAACACATATACACCCACCAAGAAAGACACATTCTGCATACACGCTGAAACACAGAAGCAGAAACGCATTATGTCGCAAGTTTAAGCCATCGTCTATAATATAGTTACACACACACACACACACACAAATATGCTCTTGAAAATTACTGTAATTACGCAAAAAATAATAATCACAGAATCGCACATGCGTATATTCATAAGATTTTCAAGAGTACAGAATATAGTGTGCATTGTACAGTATAGTATATGCAAAAAAACAACACATTCCTATAATTACAAACACTCGGACAGGCATCTCGACCCTCGGATCAGATGGAAATCATTAAGAGCAAGTACGTACAAACTCAGATGTATTTGTTGGGTTATTATATCCCTTATCATGTAATTTCTGTGAGTTAGACCACTGACACTGAAATAAGGCTAAGCCCATATTTGCGTTAAAATCAACAATGAAGTGTTCTTTAATACTTTAATGGTGAACGATTAGCGACGAATTTGTGACATACCCAAATAATATTTATTTATGAGAGAAAACCAACATGAAGGAAAAGGGTACACTGAAATAATTAGAGATTATGTGGCATTTCTCCTCTGCCCTTTAGTCGCGTCAATTTCATTCAAAGCCTTATTCTTAAGGGTATCAACTGTATGTGCATGCTACTTTAGTTAGCGTGTCTCGATGCATGAATGATGGTCTCCGTTCATGGTATTCGATTCGAATTCGACTCTTTTATAATGCAGTCGAAACCGAAGTGGTATATAAGGGTTGGGGTCGATTTATTCTCCAGCAATCATCCAAACGAAACGGAAGGCAGACACAGAACCTAAGCATCCTAGGAAACGTGAGGTATCATCATCACTCTCCACAATAAACGGTATAAGCAACAGTGAGGTGCCACGGCGGTCTGGTTTACACAAATCCATGGTATCAAGATGGATTTCCCGCTATGAAGCAACTGGCGCCACCATGGACCGTTCCCGGATGGTCACCCTCGCACAGGGGGAACAGAACAATGATGTCGAGAAAAATCCCTCCTCCATCGCTACTGCCATCCGAAAGCAACTTGTATCTCTAACATAAGGAAGTATCTAGTAAAGGGAGCAGGCATACCAATATACCATCACACCCAGGGTACATATGAAAGCACTTAAACATGAATTCCAGAATGTAAAGTACGGCAAGGGTCGCGATACTTTTTTTGATTGCCCTAGGACCACCTAGGCGCGAATTTGTTTAAGCTGTAGAAGCTTTCTCCAACACAACAACCACACCCTAATCTAACGAACTGTATGACCCAATGTCAAGGAATAACCCATGAAAACCAGTCAACTCGTTTACTGCACTAGCTAGCCATTACCCCGGAACACTATTCGCAAATAGATTAACAACCTGGTCCCAAATTACTGCTAGGTAGACAGGGGAAAATGGTGTAAAGAAACTTACCCATATTTTCGCCCTGCCCAGGGATCGAACCCAAATCCACTCGCTTGTGAGGCGAGTATACTGACCATAGCACACGCATGCACAAACACAACTCTACAAAGGCAAGGACATAGGTGCCCCCATAACCTAGGACGAGTTTGGTGATAAGTATGGAAATAAACACAATTCGATTATTCTAACGTAAGCGAGATGATTTGGGGAGATGTAGCGTATGTTTCATTTATGTGATCTCAGTCTGGTTCTGTTGTTCGTTTCGGCATCATTGTTTAGGAATACCGATGCCAGAAGCTCTTCTGATTAACCCAGTCTCTTTGTCGCCCTTTGTGTGTAAGAATATCACCTGGATATCTCGAAAACCTGGCCGCTCCATCCAAGTAGCAGCAAATAAGTGGCGAATGCAGTTATTGTGCACTTTTTCCTCGTAATTCTATTCTGTACAGCTTTGATCTTTTACGACCGAATTAGAGTCAATGAGAAGACTTGTAGCTATCAATGAGATATATAAGTCACTTACGTTATCTGCAGAGCGGTTGCCCTAAAATACACAAAAATGCATCCACCACGTGACCATTACGCCACAGAACTTTTGGTATTCGGATACGAGAAGACTTATCTACCGCGACTCACTCATTACTTTGGCCAGCAACTGATAAATTCATATGTGCACGAAAGCTCAGTAAAGCTAGGCATAGTCGAGGATGTCATTCCTAATTTTCCATTTTTGGGATTTAACCCTTAAATGACTAACCACGCCGATCGACGTAGTACTGTACAGGAGCACAACTTACTAACCCAGTCGATCGATGTTGGGCGTATTCCTTTTTAATTTCGCGCCGTTCTTTAAACGGGGCACAATATTTTTATTTCTGTTGTGGTAATTTCCTGCACGAGTTCAGAGGATGTTTTTACAGTATTTTAACTGCTGAATAAATTATTGAGGGAAAGTGGGTTTATTCAAGAGCAATGAGCTGTTGTCCACACAGGAGAAAGGGAGGAAGCTCTTTCTGTAGCCTCCACCTCCTTTATCATGTCTCAGAGACATTGAGTTGAGACTCATAGTAGTAAAACCTTGAAAACCTTGTGTGTCTAGAGGGAGGCTCAGGGGTCATCTAACAAGGCGAGTGGTATGGCCGAGGAAATGAACGAAACACGTAAACTAAATACCTATAATATAGTTCGTAACACTATAACACAAACGATTAAATTATAATAATAATAATAATAATAATAATAATAATAATAATAATAATAATAATAATAATAATAATAATAATAATAATAATAATAATAATAATAATAACAATAATAATAATAATAATAATAATAATAATAATAATAATAATAATAATAATAATAATAATAATAATAATAATAATAATAATAAATACGTGAAAGAAACTATTCAGCGTGAAGGGTCGGGAGGTGATGCAACCTGTCCGCTGCTTTAGTGAGGCGTCCAGGCGGACTGAAGGGGAGGAAGGGAGGGTTGGGGAGGAGAGAGTAGGGTGGGAAGTTAAAGAGAAAGAGGAGGAAACCTGAGCTTGGTTTGGGTGTCGAGGGCAAGGAGCTTGTATATGCTCCTTCCCCACTACTACTCTACCGGGACATACTTTAATGTGGGTATATGTTACGTTTTGTTTTGCGAAATCTGTTATTTTTGCAAAAATCCGAAATAACTTACAAAAAGGCTAACCAAAGTTAAAACAAAAAAGAACAGGACCACTTAACTGTGTATCAATCTACACGAGACATCCTAACCTAACCTAACCTAACCTAACCTAACTTAGCCTCTCACTTAACCTAACCATAAGGTTAGGTTAGTTTAGGTTGTCTGTTTGTAAGTTATTTCGCAAAACAAAACGCAGCATATATACTGTATGTGGGTTTAAATTAAGTGTATATGTTTGTGTTTATATGGGTGACTGAGGTGCGCGAGTACTATTGTGCGTGTGTGTCAATGAGTGGGGGTATATGAATGATTATATACGACTTAGAGGATTTATACATATGTATACAGTATATATACATATGACAGAAGCAAAGTGAAAATCAATATTGTCGGCCCTCTAAAGGACGAAAACAACATGACCCTGGAGGATGATAAACAGACAGGCAGCAGATATGGTACACTAGATGATTACTTTGCATCAGTATTCGCACAGTAATGCACACCTGTGGAATCGAAAACAGTACTTGGCTCAAAATAGTCCGACAAACCTATGAGGAACAGTAGAGGGATCCTACACAGGCCGCTGTCCTCGTTCCCTAGGCATGTCCACCTCTAGTGGGTGGCCATTATGTTCAAATGGTGATGCAATCTCTTTCGTGATGGCATATGTTTAAGATGGGGAGGGACGAAGTAGCTTGAAAAGTTAGAAGAGGGGGAGGGGTGGAAGGGGACTGGGAGGCAAGTGGTTGATGGTGGTGGGCAGTGGATGTAAGAGTGTTCAGCCAAGTTCCACTTCACTACCTGGTCATTGAACCTCTACATTGTCATTGACTCTCTCTCTCTCTCTGTGTGCGTGCAGGTGTGTGCGTGTGTGTGTGTCAATTTTGAATCCCTAGCATGAACATTATCATATTTCTAGTGTCTAATAAATATATGATACCGACAACTCCCATGCGAACACTGCTATGATAGTTTGCACCTTACAGTACGGGTGAGCTGGCCATGAAGCCTTATCTCAACGTGCCTGGGTGTGCATTTCAGCCTTAACGCTTATAAGGAGCACCTTCCCTGCTGGCTCACAGATAACCTTGATACCCAAGGTCCTTCTCGTACATAGCTTAGTTTAATTTATATTATTTTTTTTAAAGCCACACGTATTGGTCACTCCCTTGCCTTTTTTTCCTCTCAACTCACCTGATCATAAAAGGTGAGTCGCAACAAGCAGGCAGGAAGGTACCTTTCCATCTACCACACAAACACACAAACACACACACATTCCTGCTCGTTACAGCTAAGGTGACGCAACCGGACAGCAGATTGCGTCAAGCGTACAAATATATGAAAAAAAAAGTTAAGACAGTGAAAACAATGAGAAAGTATTTCACATTTATGAATAAGCTAATACCAGTCTGAAAGGAAAGATGATGCCCGTGAGTGACAGATAAGGAGAGAGTAGAGAGAGAAGGCTATGGGAGTCAGGGCTGAACAAAGGGGACATTACAAAGGTACTCAAACTATCCAACCAGGAGCGAACTAGTAACAATGGTTTTAAATTAGACAAATTTAGATTTAGGCGCGAGATAGGTAAACATTGGTTTGGAAATAGAATAGTGGATGAGTGGAACAAGTTACCAAACATCATCATTAACTCGAATACACTGGATAGCTTCAAACATAGATTGGATGGATATATGAGCGATAGGGGTTGGGTGTAAACAAGACCCGCCCAGTATGGGCCAATAGGCCTGCTGCAGTTTCCTCAATTCTTATGTTCTTATGTTCTTAAAGAATATCCATAGGCTCAGTAATAGTTGTGGTACAATGGGAATGGGGTGAGCGGACAGCATATGGTGCCAGACTCACCCGAGACGTAGAGTGAGATAGGATGAGGTGAGTGACCTGTGGCGCCCCTTACACTGCTTGGTGTGTGTGTGTAATAATAATAATAATAATAATAATAATAATAATAATA